AATTAAGATGCTTGCACACTTTATAAGGTATTTCTCCCTTCTTAGCATGCCTTCGTGGTGTAGCGGTCAGCACGCTCGACGCGTATTCGAGAGGTCCGTGGTTCGAGTCCCTGCGAAGGCATTGCTCATTTTTCATATCTCCTGCTTCAAAAATACCTAATGTCTCTACAACTTTAGATTAGAGTTAGCATTTAAGTTATACCACTCGCTTCTAATTATAAGTATTTCCCCTCTAGATTTTATTAAAAAGGAATTATTTCCCTTCGAGTTTCAGAAATTAGAAGCATTTTAATTATTAATAAGCATATATCAAATAGTTAATAAATATATATTAAATTATTAATAAACATAACTTAATTTAAATATTAATAAACAGGTATTTACATTCGAAGTGTTTAAGGAGGATTCTCACATCGTAAATATTAATATCAGATCCTTGACATTTAATCTTTATGTACGTCAGAAATGTACGCAACAAAATGCGTTATTTATCGACTAGACAAACAGATGGACTAAAATCAACAAGAACTATTCAGTCACCTTGAGCGTGCTTTAAACAAGCCTACGTAAATATTACGTAGTGTTTGTTTTTATTTTATGCGTCTTTAGTGAACATATTCAAAATAATAACTATGAGACAAAATCTAAATGTGATTTCGTTTCTCGGCTAAATTTCTAAAAGTATACCAGAAACAGCAAATAGAAAAGTAAATAAATAAACGTTCCTCCCCCCACCGCAATTAAAAAAAAAAAAAAAAAAAAACCGAAAGGTTTTAGATTTTAAATTACATCCAAAGGAACTTTTTTTTTTTTTTTTAACATTTTGTGTGTTGCCTTTATTTATTAAATATCATGTTTTTCGCACTTAAACCATAAAATTCAATTCAAGAGCAATATTGCAAAATAATTTTAAAATGAGCGTACCTTTAGAATTTCCGATACACAGTCTCGCGCGTTGTAGATAAAAATGTTTTTTTTTTTTTCTTTGCAACGTTGTCAATGCTGTCTTTGAAATCCTTGAGTTTGTTAATCAAAAATTAGTTAAAGTTTTACAAAATATGAAATCGATAATAAAATAAATTCCAAATTTCAAATTTGGGCTTCCAGATGCCCATATTCGCAGGATGATTACGTTATTCAAAATTCGATGGCTCTAGGTGCCGTTATTTTATCACAATGCGAGAAACATACATATATTTATGCAGGTTCTTCATTATTTAATTTCTTTAAATATAATATAAGGCGATAATATTTAGTAGCAACAATTTGAAAAGTAAAACAACGCTTGTAGTGAATAAACGGAAAATGCCAAAACGAAATTAATAGTCCTTCTGTGCAAATTGCCCCTTTGGACTAATAATTAACAAAACATTAAATAAGGAGAAATTAAAGCTAAATTAAATATAAATAATAAGTGATTTAAGTTAAATTGGAGAAAAAGTTTCTGTACTGTATTGAATTAAATATGCAACAATATACTCATTTGGGTCTTTAGCTGTATTTACCACTTACTTCAAAACTAAAAAGTATTGGGAGTCAACCTCCGACTGAATTTTGAGTCTTGTTGCGTTTTCTAACAAAGCTAGATATTATATGGCTAAAGATTTTTTCCTATTTAAAGGAAATCATTTAGTTCTATCAGTTTCCGCCTACAACGTATATTAACATACAAAGCAGTATTTATTTTATTAGATATATATCATTATTAAATGTATTACATTAAATGTGATTATGATTTTTTTTTTTTTTACTATTCTTTTAAATTCTCGGATAGTAAATAAATGAAAAAATAAATCTCAGATAAATAAAAAGTCGGATTTTCTATTATACACGTATATGTAAATAGTAAATTCTAAATGTACATGCAAATAGTAAAAAGCCTTTATGCAAGCAGTGCTATTGCCAAGCAACATAATTTGCGAATTATTTGCAATTTTTTATAAATTTATTCTATTGTAACCATTAGTAGTTTGCTAATTAATCTTTCTTAATTTTTATTTGTGGATTGAATGCTTTCTTTCTGAAATGATTTTGTGACCTTCAGTAATTTTTTCCTATCCATTTTTATAAAAATATGTTTAGCTCAAAGGGTTGGTTTGGTTTATTAGATTACGGCAAAGCACTCGAGGGCTATCTTCCTTAAGGGAGGGATGCCTTCGTGGAGGACTTTCTAAGGGAAACTGGCTCGTATACACGTTACGCATGGGGAAAACCACGAAAACACCCATGTAGCCAGCGGGATTTGAACTTCGGACCAAACTACCAGTGTTCATTAGCTCAAAGGGCGCTAGCCCAGAAGGGCTATTAATTTCGTTTTGGCATTTTGCGTCGAAAACTTTAAAAGTCTGAAGGACTTTTCAAATTGTTGCCACCAAATATTATCGCCCTGTATTATATTTAAGGAATAAAATAATTAAAAATCTGCATAGCTGTATGCACGTTTCTCACCTTGTGATAAAACAACTGTACCCAGAGCCATCAAATTTTTAATAACGTACGTCTCCACCCGAATATGGGCATCCGGAAGCCCGAATTTGGAATTTGTTTTATTATCTATTTCAAATTTTGTAAAGTATTTATGAGTTTTTTATTAAGAAACTCAACGATTTCAAAACAAGCAATAGCAACACGGTACGGGGAAAAAAAAATTATCTTCAGCGCGTGAGACTGTGTATCGGAAATTCTAGATATGCTCTTTTTAAATTATTCTATGATATTGCTGTTGAATTTAATTTTTTTGGTTTAAGCGAGAAGAACATGATATCTAATAAATAAAGGTAACACACAAAACGTTAAAAAAACGCTACTTTGGGTGTAATATAAAATCTGAAGGCTTTCATATTTTTTTTTCGATTTATTATTTAATTGCTTTTATTCGATTCTGTTTTCTTGAATAATTTAAAACTGTTATCAAAGTCCGTCTCCTTAAAGAATCTGGAGATTAAAATTAGGAAAAGAACAATTTTATATTGGTGTAAACTTTAAATAAAAGGCTGCCGATTTCGAGAGCGATCAGAAGCAAATAATATTTGCTCAAAACGTTTTCACTGTTGAGAAAAATGGAGCTATATCTGATTTTGTACGAAACAGATAGAGTTTATTCGAAATCTGCACCATCATGGATGTGGTTTTGACAGATTCTAACTTTACATAGAAATGTTTTTATTTCAGTCAGAATCTAGATTTATTTAATCAGAGTTGGTTTTCTATCTTTATTCTAACTGTGATAGATAAATCTTCGTAATTTTTTTTCAAAGAATTTAGATTTGAATCTCTTTATATCTTTAGATAAAAAAATCTGGTTTTTTAAAACATTTTGCAAACCCAAAAAGATTTATTATATTGATATCGCTTTTGTTTTAACTAATTATTTCTGCTCGGAGACTCTTTCTAGGGCATGTAACTGTTAACTAAAATATTTTTGCTCTATTATTTCTAACGTTAATGAAAACTGTATTTCTGATACATTTCAGAAATATAATCTCTTTAATGTAGAACCGTTTATAAAGGAACTGAAACTATTCAGGGCTGATATAGCTTCTTTTCGTACGAATCTAATGACATATCGGAAAGAAACTATATTAGTGTTGATGGATGATGAGGTGAGTACTTTTTTATATCTCTAATTCAAGGATCACAGTTGCATGTAATTTATGTAATTTCTGTGATTTTTAGATAGGAAAATTACTGAATAGTATAACTATCATTCCGCAGCTATCGGTAACAGAATTGGAAATAACCGTTCTATAGAATGATCTAAAACCGTTCTATAGAATGAAGGATCTATAAACCTTTTTTTTTTTTTTTTTTTTTTTTTTTTGTTTTTGTTTTTGTTAAAAGAAGGAAATATTTTATGCAAACATAATTCAAAAATTGGTCTTAATATTCGGAAAAAAAATATGTTTTTCGCAAGAGAACATACTTCTAGTAAAACAGATTTCTGAAGAGATTCCGCAGTTTCTTTTTTTTCGTGGGGGAGGGGTGGGGAAGCTCATTATGTTCGCGGTACTCTTTATGAATATAATTCCATTTGGAAAACAGAATTCGAAATGGATGTCTACAAAGTTTTTGAAAGGCTCTTTACTTTAAGCTATTTACTACCAGCAAAACAGAAAGTGTTTTTCTAAAATTCTGGATAAGTTCTTAATTTAAAAAAAAAAAAAAAAAAAAAAAAAAAAAAAAGAGCATTCAACCAGAAAAACAGATTTCTAAAGGCATTTTATAGATGTTTCGGAGACCTACAGAACCTGCTAATTTTAGGAATCGTTTTGTTCAGTTATCAAACTTAAATTGTAAAGTAGATCGGAAGATTGATTTGAAAAGTTCTTTATTTTAGGAAAGTGCTTCTACCAGCAAAATAGAATTTTATAATGGTTTTCTAGAATTTTGGACAAGTTTCTTATTTAAAGAAGAAATATTCAACCAGCAAAACAGATTTCTACGATTTTGAAATCCTGTTTAATCCACTAGCAAATTAGAATTTTAAAATGGCTCTACGGACTTCTTGAAAAGTTCTTTATTTTGGGAAGAAGAATTCTAAAATGAATTGAGAGATTTTAGGAAAAGCTCTTTATTTTTGAAAGATGCATTCATTCGACCTTCAAAATATAATTATAAAATAGTTCACCAGAATTTTGAATAAATGTTTTATTTAAAGAAAGAAAATTCATTGAGGAATTGAATAGAAAATTAAAAAGAAAAAAAAAATGAAATTGTTTTATAGGTTTCTTTGTAAAGCTTTTCATTTTGCTAGCAAACTAAGACTTTCTGCTAGCAACTCTCAAAAACTGATTGCATAATTTTTTGAGAAAGGTCGTTATTTTTGGAAGAAACATATTTAAACGGTGCTACTTCTTGGTATCGTGCTGAAGAAAGACGCAGAAAAGCACAAAATCATATCCAACGAATGAAACAAATTACATTTCGTACGAAATCTGGTGATAATCAGGATTTGCAGCCAGTCGATCGGAAGATAAGATTTGTCTCGACAAACTGTTTAGCAGTTTATGACACAAGGTCAAGTGACGTCCATTTGTTTGCACTGTTAAATGCCTGAACCAAAAGACGATCCATGAAAAATCTACTCTTCATTTCTACTCGCAACAGCAACGACATGAGCGTCGATTTACGCGCCTGTTTCAAACGTCCCGTAAGTATTAGTAACACCGCACAAAATTAACATTGGCTTAAATAAATTTTGTTTTCCAGTTACGAAATTAAATAAAAATGCAATGATAAAATAAATTTAGTTGCATAAATTTTCAACGTTTTATTTCACAAAGAAATTTTATTGCTGCAATGATAAGAGCTAAACTGGAGAAGTGCAATTTTGATCTATAGTATTTAATTACTTTTTTATGCATAAAGGTCATTAAAAATTACGTATACGGACAGAAGCATAATAACAGCAGGCCTATCGCTAGAAATATATAACTTTTAACTCGAGTTCAAATAGCAGATTTTTTTTCTCAAAGATGAATGAAGTAAATAATAAGTGTAGTTTAAATTCATGCTTAGTGATAAGTGTTAGTATTTAACGAAACTTAGAAGATATTTACTTTTTATTCTATTTATATTTGAATTTGTCTCTTTTTAAAATAAAATATCCGTTAAAGAAGCGCTGAGTAATGAAATGAGTTATAAGAATACGGAATAGGACATGATAAATGCTTTCATATAAATGACAAGTGAAGTAATGTATTTTATTAAAATTTTAGCATTATTTTTTAATTAATTTTAATATTAAATATTTAAGACAATTATAGATAATTTTGAGCTTTAGATAAACGAATTGCGCATATATAGACTTAAACTTATTTGATTTTAATGACTTATCTGTGAGAATGTATCTTTGATTCTAACTTATGCTAAATATTATAAAATTATACAATAATTTATATGTTTATAAATTTTCAAATAAAGTAATTAACTTGAATTTGCAAGAAATGTCTGATATAGGTTATATGAAGTATATTTGTTTTCATTTTGTGAAAGCAAAATGAAATAGGTTCTGAATTCAGTAAGATGGAAAGAAGTTAAAATTTGATGTAACATAAAATTTCAGTCCAATCACATGATTAGCATCGAAAAAATGCATAATATATTTTATTTAATACTGCTATGGCCACTAAAAATTAGTAGTAGTTCCTATTAATTGCATTAAATTTCTAGTTTTAATAGTAAAATTTTTTAATGCAGTATTGATTGATTTTTTTTCAGATGCACCGTGTTCATTTTCTCAAATGCATGTCCAAATATTTATCTTTCAATCGATGTATTTATAAGATATTATTGTCTTCTCCCGTGCATGCTCTAGCAGTGTAAGTGCTAGTACGTTCAGCTAGCAGCAGAAAGATCAGCGGATTGAATAACGGCGAGAGAACGACTGATTTTTCTAGTCTCATGCTCCGGGGGAGACCTAATGAACTATTCAGACTTAACTTTTTAAGCTGAACTTTCTAATTATTATGAAATGCGCTGTAATTATGATTAATTAGTTAAGATTTTATTATATTAGTAAACGTTGAAAATAAGCCCATATAAAAGAGACGTTTGGAACTGACGTTTTTAAGTACCGTATTTATAATTTGTAGATTTGAGTTTCTAAATTCATTTTTGTAATGGGACAAGAAAATTTTCAAAAGAAGGAATTATTTTTCCACGGAATTCTTTATTTCTTTGAAAAGAGTTAACTTTGAAATAAAGTATTAATTTTTAAAATCTGGATATGTTCAATATTTCAAACTTTGCTTCAGGTTTGTTCGTGTATAGAGACATTCAGACCTTTTAAATACTTTGAGAGGAATTCGTCTTAAATATTAAAAAATTAGTTTTCCTCATTTTAAAGAATTATTTAAATTTATAAGATTTCAAATTTTAGATTTTCGAAATTAGAGCTAAACAAAATCTTTAACATTTAAGAGAGCATAAAAAATACTATATTAATTTTTAACAAATTACGAATTGTTAAACATCACTTTTTAAATAAATAAGTGACATATTCTGTAGCTCTTCTCTTCAACGTTTCATAGTATATATTTTGTATGCATGGGATGTATGCAATCGTTTCTCTTTACGTCCAGAAAGTAATCGCGAGTCAGTGACCTTTTATAAGATTTTTTTTTTTTTTTTTTAAATATACTATCAACTTCGGATTAACAGAAGACGAATTAACCAGGTTGAGGACGAAACGAGTTTTGTCTAAAAAAAGGTTATTTTTGTTTATTGCGGAAAAGGTGCAAAAATAAACTGTCAGAAATAAACAAAATTTGTATGGGGGTTGGAAAAAGAAGATAATGAGTGAGATAGCAGCAGGGATAGCAGATGGTGTTACAGTATTTAAATTAGGAATCGTTTTCATCCACAGTAGTACGTGATTCAATTGTGCACAATATGAAATACATTAATGTTGTTAAATCATACATTAAAAATAAATTGCTAAATTGCAAAAATAAACTAAATGTGCAATTATTAATTTTCTATTTCTCATTGACTTCTGTCGAAATTGAAGAATAATGAGCTTCTTTTTTCTGCTTTGAAGTATGTCTTGCTTTAATTCATTTGAATGCTGCTTAGAATTACAGCTAAATTGATAATAATATTTTCTGTTAACTGCAATATAGGTGTTTCCGCCTTCTTGTGTTTTTCTAACTGCTATGAACATTGATTGTACGAGAAAAGCTTGTATACTTACTTGTTTTTTCTTAGCTGCTGTTGCCATTGCAGATTTATTCCTTTTATGTACAAATGTATTCTTCAACGTATTTTTCTAATGTAAAATTTTACAGTAAAGGCTTATTAAGTTATTAAACAACAATAACGATAATAATAATAATGTTACTTCTAAATATACAACATGGAAAGAAATTTGCAATTAAAATTTTTGTAAAGTTGAAGAGTTTTTGTATGCACCCTGCTCTATTATTACTTCTCAGGAGTTCGAAGTTTTTAATTTTGGTAATACATAAACTGATATCAAGTCATATATGTGTATCATTTCTACAAGCTTGCTTATTAAGTAACTAGCAATTTTCACTCTATATGATTTTAAAATCAAATTAATTCTCAACATTAACAAATATTAATTCGTTTGTCTGATATTATGATTAAAATTTAATCATTCGCAGTATATGTTTAGTAAACGCAAAATTTTCTTCTAAAGTTACTATCTAATTATGATATTTTATGTCTAGAGATACAGAAAAATGAAATATTTTCTGGCAAGTATTAGTTGCCTATATAGAACATAAATGTGTTAGACTGAAAATTTTGAATTTTGAATAGTCATGTACCTGGTATCGCTTGTCACTATTGACAAGTTAATTGCTTTGATTTAAAAATATATAACCAAGATTAAATAATTTCTACAAATGGAACTAAAGAAAAATTATACTTTATACAAATAAGAATTCTGAAGAATAGTAAGTATTTCTATAAATTTATTTCCTCTTACTATTCATAAAAAAAAAAAGATTCTATTTCGAAGTCAAAAAATATATTTTTTAAATTAAATTTTAATAAAAGTATTAAATTAAAGGAACATATCCAGTCTTTTCAGGGCACATAAATTTTTTTAATAGCTTTAATTTTCAGAATTCAAGTACACATTCTAGGGTTTTAGTTAGGTATATATTCTAGGGTTTATTTATTCCAGAATCGATAGATTTAGTAAGAGTGTAATCCCATTATTATTTATTTCTTATGACAAAGACATGCAAAATGCTTTAGCAGTGGACTGATCCTCGTTTGTGTTTCAACAGGAAGTGATTATGACCTTACTTATTTCTGTTTTAGGACGGAGTGAAGGGTGGTCGCAATGGCGAAGGGGACTCGAGAAAAGAACACGATGAGAGGAATCTCCATGCTATGATAATCCTCTTCTCCCTTAAAGAAGAAGTGGGAGCTTTGGCGGAAGCACTAAAGATATTCAAAGTAAGGTTTCAAGTTCTTAACACTTATTGATTAGACTGTAAGTTTCATATTTTTTATGGATGTTCTCAAGATTCATATAAATTTAACGAGTCATGGATATGAAATCCTGTGCTGCTGGGTACCCGGGCATGCGGTAATAAAGGGAAATGAGCTGGCAGATACCACAGCGAAATCTGCTGTTGAACTGTCCAGTCGCCACATCCCTTTTAGAGGCATCCGCTGTGTGATCAAGGGAAAGATCCGAAAAAAATGGCAGTAACTTACGTTCAGCTTCACAACAAGTTGAGAAGTGCAAAGGTACAATTGAGCATTGGGATATTACTAGAAATCGTAAGGAGGAAGTTCTTTTGACTCGCCTCAGAATTGGTCCCACTTGAGTGACACATGACTGCCTTTTGAAGGCTGAGAATGAGACTGTTTGTTCAAATTGTAATCTTTATCTATCAGTTCGTCATATTTTAATTGAATGTCCATGTTTTAATAGTCTTCCTCAGAAATATTTTAATAGCTATGACTTACCTCTCGACCATTTCATCGGAAGAGAAGTCAATTGTAATTCATTTTATTATTTAAAAGAGACTGACTATTATTATTTAATGTATTGTGTATTGTATTTTAATGTGTGCTTTTACATGGTTTTTATATGTCTTCATCCTCTGGATTTGGTACATTTGTCCGCCTTTTTTTTATTTATTAATAAATTTTTGATTTCATCGAATTAGATCATCCTACCTCGTGTTTGGCGCATCATAATCATCTTTGGTTTTACGACCAATAATCTCACTCTCTTTCACTCACTCATATTTTTCACGTACACCGTTCTTCCTAATGGTAATGGTTTTGGCTAATTATCATTTATATACACCTGTTATACTAGTATTACAAAAGATTAATTTTGGGGTTAGGTACCTCTAAAATGTCAAAATATGCCAAAAATTTTAACACACATTAAAGCTCAATAGCTTTAATAAGTAATTGCGTTTTGAGCAGGCAGTAAATTTTATATGCATGTTTCGATATCCTTTAATTTATATGTGATACCATTTCTTTATATTCCAGATATTAAAATATTTTTAATAAAATAAAAATAAAATTCTTTCTTCATCATCGACATGAAATTGTAACAAGCACAACTGGAAGTGTTATGGGATAAACAAATCACTGTTTTTAGGTTCTTTTTATTTTATTAGAGAAGTAATGTATAATAAAATAACCTAATTTAAAAATAAACGAGTATTTTCTTAAAAAAGTACATTTTTTTTAAATTTGAGATTGGAAAATCAACTATTTTTTTAGCATAAAATTAAACGCAATTTCTAAAGTTTGTATGCTAGGAACATACTTATTAGCTATTTATACAACTTTCAAAATTTCTTGAAATTATGACCAACAGTCACAGAAAAAGAGCTCATTCAGAAAAATTATAGTTCTAAAATTCTTAATTTAAAGGGGCCCACCAGCGGCCGAGCGGTAAAGTCGCTGAACACTGGCAATTCGGTCCGAGGTTCGAATCCCGCGAACGGGCTGGCAGCATGGGTGCCTTCCCCATGCGCAACGTGTATACGAGCCAGTTTTCCCCTAGAAAGTCCTTCACGAAGTCATCCCTCCCCTTAGGCAGATAGCTCTAGTGTGCTTTGCCATAATTAAATACACCATACACACACCTTAATTTAAAGGTAAAATAACTTTCAAATTCTGTAAATGCACATGTTTTTCCTACTATTAACATAAAAATAAAAAGATAAAGATATATTTATAAGTTAAAATTTGTAACTATACATATTTATATATTAAAACAATACTAAATGTACATAATCGTCATATTTTTGTTTGAAACAATGAAAGAGTCTAGTTGAAACTTTCATAGCTTTCAAACTGAATTATATTTCTAAGAACTTTTATATCAGAAACACAGTAATTGATAACTTTATACAATTAAACAAAATTTATTTTCATAAGCTAATTTGAAGCATTTTATGTGTAATTCAGGAAATCTGATATGTGAAATTCGTTAAAATGCAGATGTAAACAAACCACCCGGCACTTTGAATTTCAAATCTCAGAACTACTTTTTTACTATAACTTTGGTTCCAGAGCGAATTTTTACGTGAGGTTCGTTTCAAAATGATTATAAGAAATCGAATTTTATTATAAGAATATTAACAAATTTCGGATTTTTCAGTTTTTTAAAGTTATCTGAGCCCTTAATACTCTCATTTCGGTATATACCTACAAATATCTTCCATTTTGTTACATTATTTTAATCAGTGAAGCTGAAGTATATTTTACTTTATGAGACAAATAATTTTATAATTTATCAAAACGTAACATTTTTAGACATTTACATTCTCTGTTTCTTTCGATATGTATATGTGTATATATATATCTTGAGGGGTACGCATTTTTGACTTTGAATAAACAATCCGAATGAGTAAGGAAACATTTGATTGAGGTATTGTTAAATCTAGCTAACTGGTAAGCTTCCGCTCCAGTTTTGAGGGAGAACCCTCCAGCGAGCGGCCCGAGAGTCTCCTACCTCTCACAACCTTACACTTATCTGCCCAGTTCTTTCTTTCCTGGGACTGGAGTCTCTATGTGGAAAAAGTCTGAAGTATTAATTTCTCAGCGAACGCAAATAAACGTGAAATAAAAAACTCCAAACGCTTTTCAAAGAAAACCCTTCACATGGGAATAATCATCACAATGAAAGTAGAAAGAATAAAATTATTGAAAAGCATCATTGAGAAAGAAAACGCCCGAGGTAAAGACGGCTGAAATATCTCGAGATTGCCGCATCCTGAGGACTGATTGAGTAATATCTATGATTCGGGGAAAATACAGGAATAACTCGAAAGATAAATATTCTCAGTTTTTTTATTTTAAAATTTTTATTTCAAATTGAACAAAATTTGTTATATACCGTTACTTTGAAATGAATTAAATATATAAAACTCAATTTTTAGATTGGAATACTGCTCTTAAAAAAGTATAAGGCTAGTTTAGTTCATCAGTTTTGTTATTTTTTGCAGGAGAATCATGTCAATCTGTACCACATTGAGTCTCGTTCTTCTAAGAGGCTGGATGACAGCTACGAATTCATGGTGGAATGTGATACAAGGCAAGGAAATATTACTGCGGCTATGGAACAACTGAGAACTAATTCAGAATATATGACCGTCATTTCGAGGGATCACAAAGAGAACGAAGGTACGCAATTTCGAACGTTTCCGTAAAATAATAATTCGTTAGATTTAACATCTGTCAAAGCCAGACACCAAAATTGCTGAGAGCTAGATTATATTTGTCATATTACTTATATAAATAGTATATTAAAAATCTTTCTTTTTTTAGAGTTCATTTATAGTTATGAATTATGTTCCTACTTTTTTAAATATCATTCATCAATGAATATGCTTTCAGCTTTAATAGATTGTAGTATAATATAATTCCTTATTTTGCTTTTTGATATATTTTTTAATCTGAAAATTCATTTTAGGTTCAAGTACCAATTTCAAACATTGCTTACCAATATTTTATCATTTGTTTTTTACAGATACTGTACCTTGGTTCCCTCGAAAAATCAAAGAACTTGACAGATTTGCCAATCATATATTATCCTATGGATCGGAGCTAGATGCTGACCATCCGGTAAGGAAATAATCTGCGGAGGCATGTCCCTTTTTTAGAAAATGCTTGGAAATTAGCGAGCCTTCTATGATATGGATAGAATGGGACTTTCTGTAATTTCAGATTAATGAAAAAAAAAACACTTCTATGATATTATTAGCTATAATTTAATATTTATACAGCTTATTAAATTAAAGATCAAACAATAATTTTAATATTTGCAGTATTTTTCTGTCTTACACATTAGCTAAGGCTGAAAGAATTGTGTTTATTTATTTAACAGTTAAATTTTGAGTTAAACTCCCTTTCCTGTCCCTTCTGAACTGCAACCTAGAACTTTCGGCCAGAATGTAGTTTTAGAATCGCGTTTGAATGCAAATGAGGAAGAGCGGTATATAACCGCGAAGTTCTACTGTCTGAGTGAGAGAGAACCAGAGTTTCTGGCTAGCACGCGTCTGCTTTTTTAGGCTACCCTCTCTTAAGCTATTGTTACGCTGGGCTGTACTTAAGGCCCTTGATAGCTTCGCAGTCAGTTAGCGTTAAGGGGTCAACTCCGTCAGAATCTTGATAGCTTCGGCTATATCGTTTTAGTAAAGATTAGTTTAGTTTAGTTCTTAGTCTCTTAAGTTCAAGCCCGAGTGTCGCCTTTATTGTACAACTCCAAGACGGAGTTCTGTTAAACTTTAGTTTGAATAATAAAGAGTTATTTCCCTTCTCACTTGTTGTTTTCTACCTCACGAACTCAAGCGATTATTCGCTTAAGATTCATTATTCTTAAGATTCATCACATTCAACTGAGAATTGCATAGTGGGGAATGCTACAAGCCTGTTATATCATATTATTACTTTCTAAACTTCAACTATTTTATAACATGCTTCAATTTGTTCAGAAAATATTACTGAATTTGCATATAGATTTACTTATAATATTTATAAAAAAATCAGTTTCTGGTCAGAGGAGAAGGAACCTACCATAAAATTATGTTTGCTTTAATTCCATCGAAATTTAAGCATAAAGTTTAAGAGCAGAATGTCTAGCAAATTTCAGAGCATAAACGAATTTTTCGCAAATTTTTTATTTTTGTTCCAGTTTTATATACAATCTTACTGAGATGATTAAAAAAGAAAAGCAAATTTGTATCTTAAAATTTTGTGTTTTTTCCTTTTCAGGGTTTTACAGACGAAACTTACAGAGCTAGAAGGAAATATTTCGCTGATATCGCCTATCATTACAGACAGTAAGCTTGCTAGTCAATGCCTATTTTTCTCCATAAGTGAGAACATAGCAATTTGATAAAAACTGCCAGTTTAATTAAATATTGTGTTTTTCTTGCCAAATAAAGCAAATTCAAATTATCTAAAAAAATTATTTAGTAGATCTATCTGTCAGTGTATCTGATATGCAGAGGACTTCATTTTATCTTTTATTTTAAAGAATTGGATGGTTTATAAGAACTATGTAATTAACCTATACATTTCATATCTATATTTTATTTATTTCAACCTCGATGAAGCTAAACTTAAATATAAATCATTAAAATGGTCAAAAGTTTCCAAATAATAGCCTATTTATTTCCATATTTCAATAAATGTCCCGATTAAAATTAACTAAGAATCAAGAAGGACAAAATAATATCGATTTTTTATATTCCTTTCTCCCGTAAATGCTAAAAATGGCAATTAAAATTTGTGTTTAGTTAGCTAAAACCGAAATGTATTTTTAATTAAGTCCATAAAAATAATTTTGGAAGTGCAAGAAAGTGAGACTGATTCTTCTGTCATTTAAACTTTGAGTGAAAGAATTTACTTCTTATTAATTTGTAAATCAGGAAAAACAAATTCATCATACTAAGCATTCTTGAAAACAACATGTTTGCTGAATCCAGTCTTAAAGTTTATATGCTAAGAGATCAAGATTTTAATTACGCACACGAAATGCAATACAGACCATGCTTCTTTCGTTTGTATAATTGCTTTTAATTATGCTGTCAGTACCACTTTTTAGCAGCATTTTACTTTATTTATAAAAAGTAGAATTATTTTTGCACTACAAAACCATTACTTTTACAGTCAGTAAAGGTTTCAGATGAAAATAAAAATAAAGTTTATTTTTAAAAATTAACTTCTGTTTCCAAATTTCCAACATCTCATACAGAGTAACAGATTTCATAAATGCCACAAATTCTTGCGCAGAATTAGTATTCGTGTTATACGAATATTTTTTGTTGTTAAACTCTATTTCTTAGTGAATTCAGAGTATTGATTTGAGGGAAGATTTCTTCAAGAGATTTAGTTTGAGGGGAGAATGATCTTGTTATCCATTTTATTATAATTATTTTACTATATTATTAATGTTATTTGCATAATAATTCCACAGTATAGCATGCATTAACATTCCATTCTAACATAAGTATTAAATTGCTTTGATATTATTTAATTATGAATAATAAATAATTCTGCATTTTTCGATTCTCCTGATAAAATTTTATGAATGGACTTCGAAGTAATGCATTCAACAAATTTAATTTCAAATTTCTTTTCCAGTGGCGAACCGATTCCCAGAGTGCAATACACAGAAGAAGAAACAGCAGCGTGGTAAAACACTTATTTTTTAGTCTGTAGTATATGTAATACAACAATCTGTTAAATACTTATACAGTGAATCTTCTCTAAGATGACCATCCGCGGTTTGAGGTCACTTTTGGCCTTCTGTAAAAGTGATCGTCATATGAACGTCGAGATTCAGTTGCAACGATTAGCGATTTTTGAAATCCGATAAAAATGTTAAAATAGAAATAGGGATCGTATGACTGTTATTGATAACCTTATATTAATAAAATTTCGAATTAATTACTAAGACAAATAGCAAATAGGGTGGGAAAATAAATTATTGAATAAATAAATAACACATTATTTCATAATCAGGTTTTCTAAAATGCTTTAAATAAATAATATTTTAAAGTACGAAGGAAACTTTTTCGGTTAAACACAATATTAAATAAAACTTCATGTTGTAAATGTCATAATGCGAAACAAGGCTAAATGCTGAATCACAGAAGCTAAATAGATGGATTCTGAGTTTTACCGTATTAAGTTAAAAAATCAAATAAACCGCATTTATCAATGATAACCTGCTTTGTTCCATAAAAATTATTTGCTACTACAATAATAAGTAGAACTGTAACTTTATGGTTTACGTAGTATACCAAGTACATTAGTCTGATAGTGAAATTAGACATACTGTATATTTAGTATAATTGGTCGAATTACGGAGAGGAAAAATTGATCCCCAATTTTATTCAAATCAAATCTAATCAAAAACCTTCGAGTCGCGTTTCAAGAATTCTGTTAAATTGCAAACTTGCCTTACTTCGGTCCGTGATAAGGGATACACGTCAACAATTGTCCAAAATTGAACATGAACTCTATAAGCTTCATCTGGAACTCACTAAAACATATCCAAAATTCACTGCCCTTGAACAAAAGTCTTGGTCTAGAACGGAGAATGCAGTTAAACTGTCATAAAAACACTCTTGCAGTTAAATTCGAAAAACTTCTTTTACAGTCTTCCAGTTCAAGTAGTTCAAAAAATCTTCCCATTGTAAACATCAAGCCAATAGTTAATATTTCTAATGTTAGTTTCAGAAGAACAAGAGAGAATTCTAAAATATAATTTTAACTTCTCACAAACCTGTAAACCCTCGATTCCAAAGATTTTGGCTCCTATCGAAAAAGCTTTCAAGTTCAGTAAAGTTTCAGATTCACAGAAAGAAATGATTAGGCATCTTATCGCTCATAATGTGAAATTCAATAATAAACCTTTGAAACCAAATCTAACTGCGAGAGAAAGAGCTACAATGCGCGAGATTCATTCTAACCCGGATATTGTCATTTCAAAGGCCGACAAAGGTGGCCAGATAGTCGTCATGGATAAGAACACTTACATCGATGTTGTCACTAAACTCTTAAACGAAGGACCATATAATCCTATCCCTAAAGATCCTTCACCTTCGGACTTATCCAAAATAAAAACTGCGATCAAATCTTCGCAAATCATTTCAAGCAACTTAAAACATTCACTTATCCCATCTGTTGTGAATTGTGCCAGATTATATGCTCTTCCCAAAATTCATAAAAGTGGTATTCCTTTCCGCCCTATTGTATCAAATTTAGGTACTGCCTCGTATCCATTAGCTAAATATTTAGTTTCTAGATTTCCCACTCTATTAGACAATAACATTTACACCATAAAAAATTCAATAGAGTTTGTAAAAAAAGTTAAAAACATTTCTCCTCGTAATTTACTCATGGTTTCTTTGATGTAAAAATCATTATTCACCAATGTCCCAGTGGAGGGTGCATTAAGATGTCTAGAAACCAGACTTCGCGAATTTCATTTCTCTTGCATCGAAATTGATGAGCTAATTTCTCTCACTCAACTCTGTTTGAAAACAAACACATTTTGTTTTCCAAAATAAATATTACAAGCAAACTGAGGGATTAGCCATGGGAAGCCCCCTCAGTCCCATCCTGGCTGATATCTACATGCATTATTATGAATCAAAATTGTTTGAAACTTTAAACTTCCCGGCATGGTTCCGCTACGTAGACGATACTTTTACCCTGTTTGAAGGTAATAAAGATGATTTAAATAAAGTTCTTTCAACAATGAATTCTATTGATCCTGCTATTCAGTTCACTTTTGAACTTGAGACTTGCAATTCTCTTCCGTTTCTCGACATTCTGGTCACACGTAACACATCCAACTTCAGTACTACAGTTTACCGTAAACCTTCATCGGTTTGCCTTCCACCACACTTTAAATCATGTCATCCGACTAAACAAAAGTTAGCTTCATTTTATTCCTATGTTTTCCGTGCTCTTCAAGTTTGCTCCTCCAAACTAGCCCTTGATGAAGAACTAAATTATTTAAAAGCAATAGCTATTGACAGGGGCTTTTCACCCAACATTATTAATCAAGCAGTTAAAAAATTCTCATCTCAACACACTAAAAGCCACACTCTTATTTTAGGAGATTATAAAAATTCTGTTGTCATTCCCTTCTTTCCATCAATTAGCTATAAAGTTGCACATATTTTGCAGAAATTTAACTTTCGGGTTGTTTACTCTCCCATCAATAAAATTCCAACTTCTATACTCAAGGACCCCATTCCGGATATGAATTCCTGGGGTATTTATAGGATTCCTTGCCAGTGTGGTTTAATTTACATTGGCCAAACTAAGAGAGCCTTAAAATTTCGCGTCAAAGAACATGAGGCATATGTTAGAAAAAAGGAAACACAGAAGTCTTCTGTTGCTCAACATTGTTGGTCCGAAAATCACACTTTCAATTTTTCTGCTGCCAAAATTATTCAAAAAACATCTTCCATTGGAGAACTGGATTTTCTAGAGGTATTTCACATTCATAAAAATCTTTCTGTTCTAGTTAACGATCCTAATTCCAATCCAAATTTGCCTTCGGCTTTTAGAGAAATTATGTTTTAGTTCTGGTTTCGCCAACAGATGGCGCCACTTGCTTATTCTTGTCCAGGCTTTCTTATCTTATCTAAACATTATTTCCTATCTTGTTCATTTGCGGTTTTGCAGCTGAAGATGATGGTTCGGTAAAACCATCGAAACTAGTCCTGTGAAAATTTTGTAAATTAACGCTGATTTTTGTTGTTTGACTTCTGAATTAGTATTTATTCGGCGTGTTATTGTGTCTTAATTACGGAGAGGTCGTCTTAGAGAAGCTATTATAATTATTTATGTCGATGTTTACTTATGTATTCAAAAGTCTACTGGTTATTTTTAGAGGTGATTGTCTATGGTAAGGAGTAACTGAAAGAGGGTTGACTGTATTTTTGTATTATTGCATGTCGCACTTTTTTGACATTATGGGTTTTGGTTTAATTTATTTTATGTATCTGTTGCTCCGTTTGCTTTCAGAATAACTGTAGAATAAGGAAGGAAGTTTAACAAATCTGGAAATATTAAAAATACGGCAATAAAATACTAATTCGATATAAACGTATTGCAAGTATAATTTCATGTATTTTGTGTTTAGAAACGTTGTCTTATTTGAATAATTTAAGCTGATAAACATTATTTAAAGCTTATATATTCAGAACAATACATTAAAAAATACTTAATCTGTGTAATATGCTATTTTTTTTTAATGTGTTACTGTTTCTTCATAAAATCATGTTAACATTTCTACAAGATCATTAGATAAAAACAAACAGAATAATATTGTACAACGATATAAGAATGTTATGACTGTAGCTCAGTTACCTAACATTTTAAAGCGTCAGCAAACTCAAGTTCTATTTTTGGATGGATTTTAAATTCTTAGAATCTCTTTTGCCCGAATAATTTCTTTAGAAGTACACCCGCCATAAATTTATGTCTGCAATAAATGGAAAGCTACGCAACAGAACAGCTGATTAATTGCACAGAAATTGCAATTTTTATATGATATTATTATACTGTAATGCAGAGACCTCAGTCTAGGCTAAGTATGACGATAAGAAGTATTGTTTTTAAATAGTGTGTATAATACATAGTCATAGAAGAATTTTTAAAAATCCATTAGACAAAGCTTTTAAATTATACTAATTTAAAACAAAGCACGGTTTCAATATGGTCTTTTCACATTGCTGTAAGTACTAAACATAATTATATTCGACAAAAATACGGTAACTGAAAACAGTTAACTTTCTATTATACTTAGTGATACGAATATGCAAGTAGCAGTCTTCTAAATTGTCGTAATTCTCATTGTAATGAATATTAGAAGGAATAAACAATAACAACAAAGAAAATCCGTTTCCATCTATGATTTCACCATGCTTGTAGAAAAGAGAATCGTTTTAGATAATTAATAATTTTTTTGTAATAATATCTATATAAATTCCATTCGCATTTTTAAAAAATTTACCACCCTCGTATCATTGTTTGGACTATTTCAATATTCATTTTCCCGAGGAAATTTTCCTTTTATCCGTAAAACTTTGATGCACTTGGTTTCACATATGAGGCTAGTCATATGCTATTGCAGTCAAATGTTAGCTGTATCTGTTTCCGTTATTAAACAAATCATTTATAATGCATATTTATGTTTTTCAAGGGGCACCGTCTTCAAAGAGCTGACGAAGCTGTATCCTACGCATGCCTGCAAGGAGTACAACCATATTTTCCCTTTAATGATTGAGAACTGTGGTTATAGGGAGGATAACGTTCCACAACTGGAAGATGTCTCCAATTTCTTGAAAGGTCAGAATTTAATGAATTTCATGGGATTTATAAAAGATTCTCCTATTTTAAGAGCCAAATAAATCTGAAATGCAAACTTTGCGCTTTGAATATGTTTATACGAAGAAAATGTGCGTTAAAAAGCAATATACAGCAAAATATATTATTTTTCTGTTTATCATTATTTTCAAAAATATACATATTTCTGAAATAATTATAATTCATTTTGTTGATCGTTAGAAACTATATTTTATTGATCTACAGAACTTAATTTAGACATTAGTTCTTAGCTGGAAGTTTTTTTGCACCATTTTGGTTTTTTCCTCCGAATCTATGTTATCACGAAATTGATTAAAAAAATAAATATATTAAATTGGGTTACATTTTGACAAGGAGTAGATATGAAGATGATCAAATGCCCTTTCTAATGTCACACGCTAAGTTCTTGAAATAAAAATGGACATAAGATTGAGATTGCCAGTAATTCTCCTCATCATACCTTAAAGTAATCCGATAGAAATCATATCTGCTTTTGTCAACATGTTCTGCAACATTGCAGACCGTATTTAGTATTACTGCAATTGTAGTCATTTTGAACTTCTGTAACTTTATGATATGTGACACAGAAAAGTCAATGCTTATTGTAATTAGCATTATTCCTGTTATTAACATCCAAAATGTGTTAAATATTATTTTAAGACACCTTGTATATAATGTAATAATTGTAATATTTAAAAAAATAATATTTATTGCCATTGATGTTGACTAAGTTGTCTTAAAAATCCTATAGAGTTGCGTCATTCTATTAGTGCTTTATAATCACTGAATAGGAAAATGCTCTAATTTTGCGACCTTTTTTCTCTTAGACTGTACAGGTTTTACGCTTCGTCCTGTTGCCGGACTTTTATCATCCAGAGATTTCCTGGCTGGCCTTGCTTTTCGGGTTTTCCACTCTACTCAGTACATCAGGCATTCATCCAAGCCGCTCTATACTCCTGAACCGTAAGTGCTATCGCTGCAGTTATTTGTGTTTTTTCGGAAATAAACTTGCTAAATCCTTTGTCTCTGGCCAGCGAAAATTGTTAAAGTAATGTGAACAAATTGTTCATGAACTCAATAAAAATTACGTAAATCTCATGGTTAAAAAGAAGTTATCCAGCAATGTCGTTAAATGTTTTTAGTTAAAAGAGTATTTATTCACTGATAAAAAAGGTACTGGATTCGATTACCAGTTTCAGTTTAGGTTTCTACAAAATTGCTATTAAATTTTTGTTGTAGTTCTAGCTTTGGAAATATTTGGAAAATTTATTATAATTTAAAAAACTATAATATTAACATCACATGATTTCCTTGAACTGCCTATTAAATTATGCATATTTTTTGCAGCATTTCATTTAAACTTATTTCCTTGAATTTCATTAGAGATATATCTCTTACTCAATCAATTCAGTTCTCATTCTGCGGCAAGGCAAAAATACATAAAACTCAAAACACCTTCATCAAAAATTGAAAAATATAGAAAAACATAAAACACCAAATTAAAACAATTAATTTTTTTTACAATTAAAATTAAGAGTTTCTGATCAAAAACAAACAATTCAGCCAGCGGGTAAGAAGGCACATTTTTCGGTGCACAAAACTGAAGGTTTATTTTTGGTCCCACTCGGCAAAAACACACTGAAGGTGCAGAAATCGACTTAATTCGCTATTCTGCTAAGTTTGAAATGTAAGCAAATATGCCAGCTCTATTAGGCTTAGTCGCACTTAAACAACTTTTAAACTGTTGATAATTCTTCAGCTATTGCATGCAGATTATCGGGAACAGAAGAACCCTAAACGGGAACATCAAAACAACGTAATTCAATCATATATATACACTTCTGGTGCGGCCGTTTTGAACCCAAAAGGGAGGTGTACAGCTACACGTAATAGCAGTCCTATATACAAAATTTCAACGTTTTGAAACTACTCGTTTTTGAGTTATGCGAGATTCATACATACGTACGTACAGAATTCGCGAAAGAATTTCTGAATCCACTTTATAATCCGTTTTGGGGGAAAGAGTCCTTTATTCTGTCCTTACGTACAGATGTCATACAGAAACATCGTTAAATTGCATTCGATAGCGGTTAAAATGGATATTTTCGTTGAAATATGATACTCGAAATTTTTCGTGATTGCAACACTTCCTTCGTAAAAAAGAATAAATACATCTTTAGGAAAATTTTACAGTCTTGAATAATATTGTAGTTTAATATCTGCGTTCTGATGAAAGGTAAACTTATAATAATATAAAGCATGGAAAAGAATTCAATAACTGTCCAGTAACATTCATATATGTACATGATGTATTCATGGCAAAATGTTTTCACAGATTTTATTATTACTTTTACATACTGCCCTCTGATAAATTTTAATAATAGAAAGATAGTATAATGGCTCCGAAATTAAATTTGGATGATAAATGTAACAAATTAAGGCTGTAGTAAGATAAATTAATAATTGCAGAAACCCTGTTCATTTGCAGGAAAAAATCATAGATTTTTATTTTACTTAAACTTGAATACTTTAAAGTAATTCACTGACAATTATTGTAGTGGTACATATGTTGTTTGGAACCAGTTTGCACTTCAGATACTATTGTCATTTCTTAAATATTCAAAATTTATAAGGAAAAAACGTGACGGTTGAAAAACAAATATATGCAACGAAGAGGAAAAACTAAAAGTACAAGCATACATAAAATGCTATTTTGAAACATTCAAAACTCTTCTTGAAAGTAATGTATTGTTGCGTGCGCACGCGTTGGAAATATATTGAATGCACACAGAACTGATGATAGCTTGATAAACTTTTTATCTTACGGAAAGAAACACATCACAATTTTGAAACTTTTCATAAAAATACTCGTCACAGTATCACAGATTATAGTCAATAATTACACTTCAAATTAGTAATACTGTTTAACATATCGCAGTGCATAGCGCATCTAAAAGGCGAAGCTCTCTCGGATATCTCAGTACTCCGGGTTCAGTTCTGAACTAACTACCGCCGAGAGCAGATGGTCTTAAATAGCTTTGGTCTTTAATCGTTTTCACCCGGCCGCATAGGAACCTCTGGTAAATTCTATTTCTCGAAAATACTAGAAGGCATGCTCTGTTAAAGTTACATCTAAGAGACGGATACGGTTACAGTTGCATATATAGATTTATTTCAGTTATTCAATTGCAGTATCTGTTAGAGTTATCGGGACCGAACAAAAATATCGTCCAATGGCCGCTAAGTTTGGCAACTTTTGGCGATTTCTCGCCAAATTTGGCGACGGACATTAGTCGCCAAAACCATTGTATATATATGTAATTTCACTAAAATTATCTACATATGTACGAAATTCGAACCACTAGAAATCCGTCTATGGCTTTCTCGGCAAAAATGATTTACTAATCCAAACAAGCACCGCAGTTCTTAGCACTGCAGTTTTAACTGAAATTTATTTGAGAATTTTCTGGCGTAATCTGAATAACACTTTCATTCCAGAAACAGAACTCAAGGCGGCTGAGGGTTCGAACCTCGGACCGAACTACCAGTGTTCAGCGTCTTTACCGCTCGGCCGCTGGTGGGCCCACTCCAGCATTGAAAGCCCGGCTTAATCGAATATACACTAAATCATTCCTTGATGTTTTCGTGATGAGCATTTTTGATGAATTTTACATTTTCAATTTTTTTTACACAAAACAATAATTTTATTACAGCAAACAATAATTTTATTTTGGAAAATTTCTTTTAATGAGAGAAGATTTATAAAGAATTCTCTTACAGCTAACGATACGGTTAGAAAACATACTGCAACAGCAGTTTTAACCTTACTTGTTTCCTAGCAAGTTAGTTACTATTTGCAATGGACTAGACTACTACGAAGTTATTCTAATTGAAATCTTAACAGAAAAAGAAGATTTATACCATATTCTAGTCCTTCAGAGGCTAAGTACATTACGGCTTCTTGATGTATGATAGATGAATCTGATTAATGTATTCTTTCACGGCTATTATATACTTGCACTGAGACTAAAGCTTTTACATTTCTGCAGAGATATATGTCATGAATTGTTGGGACATGCGCCTCTATTTGCGGACCCTAATTTTGCAAAGTTCTCTCAAGAAATCGGACTTGCCTCTCTTGGTGCACCAGATGATTACATCGAGAAGTTAGCGACGGTAAGTTGATTAAAAAGCTTCTTAAACTTCTTAATACATTTAGACTTTTCCTGAGCTCTGAAATGTTAGGATTATTTATTTGTGTATACTCATACCCAGTTCATACATTGTATTTTCCTACCCAGTTCATACAATTACGTTATATGGATTCAAACTAAATAAAAAATTGCACAAAATGTTATTAATATAAAAAAGTATTTGAATAACTTTTATTCTTTATGAAATGACTATAACAGAATATGGCTTCTTGCTTTAACGATTTGCAAATATCTCTGTTGATGAAATATAACTGCCTCATCAAAGCTTTGCAATTTTCATTCCGTTAATACATATATCTTCAAATTTAATAGTTACATAAATTTAAAGAATGTTGATTTGTAAATAAGTTAACAGTGTGGTTATTTTATAACTAAGCAAACTATTGCCTACTTCCTTATTAGGAGATGCAATAACAAGAAAATTACAATTAATATCTTGAAAGTTGTTTACAAATCGTAAAAATGGGAAAAATTAATAAAAATATAAAACTTTAATTTAAACACGGAAACAGTTATATATCTGCAGAACGTCTGGCATGTTCATACTGCTGTTTGATCATTTTTAGAATACTGTTTAAGTTCCTGGTTACGGTTTTCTGAATCTTTCCAAAATGCTATTAAAGCACACTATATTTTCAGTTATCTCGGCTATAATGCCGGGGGTTTAGGTCAGGGATATTGAAAATATGGATATACAAACTTTAAATTTTCATGCATACTGTATTTGTTTATTTCTTAAAAAAATCAGTAATTTTGCTCTGTTTGTGAGAACATTTAAATATTTATCGAATTTCATTACGATTTTTCGGAATTCTATTTTCTAATTTTATTTGAAGGCCCTTCGATCCACGAAGTCCAATAGAGATTCAACACAAGTCGTTGCTGTCTGGTCACTTAAGTTGTCTCCACTTCTGTTCTTGTGACATTTAAAAACATACACACATCACTCCAGCATTAGATTGGTTTGGATTATTTAATTATGGCAAACGAGGGCTATCTGCCAAAACGGAGGGATGCCTTCGTGGAGGATTTTCTAAGGGAAACGCCCATGCAGCCAGCCCGTTCGCGGGTTCGAGCCTCGGACCGAACTACCAGTGTTCAGCGTCTTTAACGCTCGGCCGCTGGTGGGCCCACTCCAGCATTGAAAGCCCGGCTTAATCGAATATCCACTAACTCATTCCTTGATGTTTTCGTGATGAGCATTTTTGATGAATTTTACATTTTCAATTTTTTTTACACAAAACTCCAATTATTGCCCCGATTTCTGTATTAGGAAGATCCCTTTCTTCCTACTCGGATATTTATCTTCTACGCACTCTCGTGCATAACGTTCAGTATGCGTACTTGGGCACCGCCATGCAAACCAAATAATCAATACCCGGATAATTGAGAGTATACTATAATAACAATTTAGGCGAAACTTCACTTTGAGAAAGAGAAATAATCTGCCGGTATCAGATTGAAGTGAAATGAGAGTTATGGCATTTTTCTTTGATATATAAAGAAAACAAGACAAGAATGGAATTATGTAATGACTCATTATCGTGGAGCGGAATTCATTTGAGGCCTAATATACAATTTACAGGTCTAATGTATAAAATTATCTTCAGAAAGTCCATCTATTACGTCTTTTACAATATGGAGCTTTCTGACTACGTCTAAAAAAATTACTAGTAAATTATCCGGTTTTAATCAAAAAGGATCTTCAACATGGTTTTTTGCCTCGAGGTTTCAGAAACCGAAGTTTATGTGCTGTAGTGTTTCTTCTTCATTCAAGCACATGATTGCCATTTTGTCTCAGAATCATAGTGTCTCATAATCCATCAAGTTTCATCTGCAGTCACAGTCTATGTTATGCAGTCAAAGTCAGGATGAATTCTCGCTTTATAGCAAAAAATTTTTTTTTGTTATGCTTTGCTCATCTTTCAAATACATGAGCACAGATATTCAGTGGATAAGAGTAAACGATCAAATCCATAAAAATTCCGCTTCTCAAGTTTACGATCTCACAGTAAAATGCTTTTCAGTTGTCATAGTAATAAATATTATCTATTATCGTTTCGCAGGTTTGCTGGAATTTGCGAAAAGTATTAGTCAAAACATTTTGGAGACGTATTGTGTGTAATTACTACAGTTTCGAAAACCAAAAATTGCCCAAAAAAGACGTTATTATGAAATCAAAATCAACACTAAAGTAATAGAAGTATTATAAAATCTTACCACCAAATAGTAGAATCATTATATAATCTTTGTTTTCATCCCAACAGAAGATGAGATCAATACATTTTTACTTTTTCTTATGCAAGCTAATTGGTTAGATCGTTATTACTGAAAGAGCTATTGAATATATTACTTTTCTATGTAACAAAAGTCGAAAGTACCAATTAAAGCATGACTTAATACTTATATAAAGCTTTGGACTGTAAGTTCTCAAGGGAGAGAAAGCTTGTAGAAAGAAATGTACATGCTGTTTCAATTCTTAACAGTATTTAAACAAAGCTTTGAATTATAAATTCCCTCAAAACGGAAAAGTTTGTTGGAAGATACCCATCTTAAATTTGTAAACAAAACTAAGTTAACTACTAGTATCTGGATAGAATCATGCACTAATTTATGATATAGGACAGATCAGACTAACCATGTGATGGCTACTGTGCCATCACAGTGCTAGGCGGGTTTGACATACATGGTAAGATTATTCTTTCTTTTGCTTGATGTGTGAGCATTCAAGCAAACGAGAAGTGTTACTGTAATATTATACCTTGTCAAAGGCGGCCGCATGTAAATGAATTTAAATAAAATGTAATCAAAGTTAATATTCTTTTCCCATAAGATGCAACTGAAAAGCATGTAATTTAAAATTATGTTTATCTTTCAGTGCTATTGGTTTACTGTTGAATTCGGCTTATGTAAGCAAAATGACAAAATAAAAGCTTATGGGGCTGGATTACTATCCTCATATGGAGAATTAGAAGTAAGTAAGAATGAATAAGTTTCACTGTTTAGTTTCCAATTTCTTTCTTTTTTTCCTTTATTTTGTTATAAATATGCATATTTGTGTGAATATTAAGATAACTTTCACATTATGCTTATTTTTACGAAAGGTTTTGAAACCAAAGGTGTTAATTATGCCGCCAAAGAATTATGCAACTAGTCAGAGTCGAATGCATACATGTCTGCGAAGTTGTGATTGTGGAGAGGATAAAAGCGCTGAGGGATTTTCTGCGATTTGTATGATCGTACTCATTCATGACGTTTTCCATGTTTCTCACAAAAGTTTTATAAGGTATCAAGTAAACAGAGTAGCCACGAATATGTGGATGACGGAATGAGGTAGAGAATTGTTGGTAGATCTAAGGCAAGTCAATTACAAGCTAAAGTGACAACAGAGTTTAATATAACGCCTAGTGTCCTCTGCAGTTTATGGAAACAGTTCCAAAACCCTGGATCTTTATCGAGACCTGAACAAAGTCGACCAGGATACACAACAATGAATGAGAATCGTTATTTGACACTTTCAGATTGCCGATACAGAACCACTACCCCTTCACAGCTCTCACGAGAGCTGTAGGCTGGCACTGAAACTCTAGTTTCTAAAGTTACGCAGAGGCTTGATGATGTAGGGCTGTGTGCCAGAAGTCCCATTGCTTGAGTCGCGCACACTGCAGCACACAAGAGAGGGCGTTTAGCATGGTGGCAGACAACATGCACTTTGGTTTAGACTTTAGTCGAACAGTGCTTTTTACAGATTAGTAGAGATTCAGCCTGGATCTGATTCTTGGCGTACTTGTATCTGGGGAGAGCCTGGAACACGATACCCTCTCTCCCTCATCAGAGAAAAGGATCATTACGGTAATGGAGGTGTAATGGTTTGCACAGGCATTTCGTTAGATGGCCGCACACCACTGCATGTGCTTAGCAAAGGCTCGCTGGCTATTATGAGGTATAAAGAACATATTTTAGAGTCCTAAGTTCCACTTTTCAGAAACGCATTTGTTTCCGAATTTCTGTTAATGGATATCAATGCTTGTCCGCATATGGCTCAGCTGGTCCATGATTACCTGCAAAGTGAGGATATTCGCCTCATGGATTGCTCAGCCCGATCTCCTGACCTTAACTCTATAGAGTATGTCTGGATTGATCTTGGGAGAGTAATTTTATCTCGCCCATCCTTCTCCAGGAATAATCTCATAGTTAAAAAGCTACATTGCTACAGGTGTGGGATCGACTACGACAGAAACTCCTCAACTGCTTTCTGCTGTGAGACAGGACCAAACCCCATAGTAGGCTTATTTTCAATTCGATAACACAACGTGCAGTTTAGACATTTCTGCACTATGCCTACGTAAAATGATTTCTGAATGGCACATCTCTTTCTCTATAAATATATATTGATAGCAAATTTCATTCAATCTGCTCATTTATTTTCCGAAATTCTATATAATGTACAAATTGTCTTGATTTTTCGCACAAAAACTGTCGCGCAAGAAACATACAACTTTTCTTTCTAAATCATATGAGAAAATTTCACTTTTTCAAAATCTAACGAAACAACGAACAATTATAACCAGAATTATTGTAGTAATATTTCTAAGGAAGTAAATAGTTGAAAAAATGTAACCAATAAATAAGATATGTCTTTGTATTGACTTTGTTTCTTGTTTGTTATAAAAGGGCCCATTTTATAGTTATACAGCTATTTTGTGTTTTATGAACACTTTAAAATTTTTTTGAAATAACGATATTAAATTTTTTGCAGTACTCTCTATCGGATAAGCCAGAAATCCGGGATTTCGATCCCCCGAAAACTGGCGCTCAGAAATACCCCATCACAGAGTACCAGCCAGTTTATTATTTAGCAGAAAGCTTCGAAGATGCTCAGAAGAAAGTAAGGTAAGTGGAAAAATAGTAAAAGCCGTTATTTATAAGGGTGTGATGCGATATTCTAATATAAAACCGTACTCAGGGAGGGAGGCTCGCCTTCCTTTCCTGTGCTGCACGCCACTGAGCGGCGTGGAGCACAGAAAAACTTTGTATTGAAACTTTTGAAAATAAAACCGTATAATGCATCAATATATATTTTCAGGGAATTTGCTCTCTCGATTCCCCGGCCCTTCACAGTGCATTATAACCCATATACTCAGAGCGTAGAAATTCTGGATGCAAAGCCACAAGTTGAAGAACTTGCAAGAGATATCCACTGTAAGTACTGCAATGTGTTAACGCATTATTTTTAATGCAAATTCTGAAGAAACTGTTTTTAAGAGTACACTAATGCTAATTAAAGAGTATACCCTGTAAATCAGTACTTAATGTATCAACTTATAATTGAAAGTAAATGTTTGATCTTTGAGTAAGATACCAACTCATTTCTTTAAAAATATAAGTATATACTGCATTCTCTGTGCGTGCTCTCATGTTTAAATGGCAAAATCTTCACTTGGCAGCTGGAAGATCCGTAGGGCCAAACCTGGTGAGGTACATTTGATTTCTCACGCTTCTGTCTTAAAAAAACCTTCTGACGCTTCTGTCTCTATAGGGGTGCTAGAATCAAAAATACGGTAGGCTATAATTCGTTTTTATCTGAATTTGGTCGTCTGGTTCTCGTAGCAGACTCTCCAGTAGTCCTTTAAGCGGAAATGAATTTTGAAAAAATCAATTTTTGCATTGGCCTGTGCTTGCTCTCGGGATGTTAAAAGGTAGTACATCCAGATGGTAGCTGAAAGTTCCATGGTTCGGTGAGGGCGGGGTTTATTTCTTGAGTTTATTCCTTCCCTCATCCCCCTCCAAAGAAAAAATAATAATACCTCTACACGTCTTAAAAGTAAAAATAGCAATATCAGATTTAAGAGAAAAAAATTTATCTGTAAAACATCAAATTACCCCCAAATAGTTTATCATAATTTTAATTAAGCGCGATATATCTGATACTTTAAGAATTGGTCTTTCCAAAATTAAAGATACAGAACGGAAACTTGGAAGCTAAAAATATTAAACACCTTCCAAAAGTCTTTTTTGAGATGTTTAATAACACACATTTGTTTTACAAATGGATACTGTATTGAAGTCGTGCATATAAATATGAAATTTTATAATTAACAAAAATGTTACATTTATCTGACATTGACAAAAAGAAACTCTACTTATCTGCATTTCGAGAATAAACCTAGAATCTTTTCCTAAACTTGAAAGCTTTCGAAAATCGAATATCGCAAGCTTAAACACAAGAACATCATTTTATAAATGCAGCAGATTTAAAGAATTCTTTAATGTACTCAGCGGATTTCATCTCGTATCTAATACAACAAGCCCAGAACTCAATTCTGTCGCAAATGTTAAAAAACTAAAATTAACTTGAGAACAAGATAGAACCCAGAAAAGCTTTTTTCTGATTCCCTCGAAATTCTGTGGTTACTACTGTGACAATCAAAATCGTAAAAACAACCTTGTATTTAGCCTAAGTATATTGAAACACTCAATCGATTTCGAGGGCAGCTAGGAGGTCCCTCCTCATCAGGAGAAAGAAATACCTAGAAAGAAGAAAAATAAAGGGGAAGGAGTCTCAGAAACACGTGGTCCTTATCAGCACTGCACGTGGTTATAACCGGATTTTTTATCAGAGTTACACTGGCCGCCTACTTTTACTGAGCCAGCCATCTGATCAAACATGTAAGACAAAGGACAAGAAAATTAGCGAAGTTAAAAATAGGGAGCGGGGGGCAACTGCACCTTCACGCTCAAAATCTGAACTTCGAATAATGGAAAGCAACCACTGAACGGAAGGTTGTTTTTACGATTTTGAAATCTGCCTAAATTCTTCTTGCGGGGACAGGTTTCAGCTCTTTAGCTGAGATCTAATGAGTATTACGCAGTCCGTATTTTGACAGTAGCATACACATTCCGCCTTTATGGAATACTAATACTAAGAATCCTAAGGGAATGGCTAATATTATTAATCTTGTAATCTACCGTTAAATAAAAATAAAAGCTATTTACATTAAAATGTAGCTAGTTTGTCGATTAATTCTGGCGTACTTTATGATGTAGTGTAAAATAATTTGTCTGGTTTGGCTATTGCGAGGCCATTATGTGATTGGCTATTGAGATTAAGAGTATTTACAAACTTTTTATTTCAAGCTTCTGTCGCAATGTTGAATTACGTTACACTAACAGAATTTATAGAAATCAAATTATTATAAATTTTCTATATGATTAATTGTTTGTAAAATTTCAGCTTACTTAGAAAGAAAATAATTAAAGAATACAGTGAAATATCAGCTCACGAATTTGATTCTCTCCTGAAGGTGGTTTGTAAACCGAAATCTTCTTTAACTGAAATAATCCTCCTTATAAAAATTAATACAATGGATTAATCCATTTATCGACAGACCATTGCTAAATTTTACAATAATTCACTGTGCCATAACCAATAATTTACTGTGTTCATTACCAATGTCATTAACAAAACAAAAAATAATGAACACAATATTAAAACAGATAAAATAGATAAAAACTTAATTATTATTACATGAAAATTTTGAATTTTGACCCTTTTTCTGAGATTTCTCGGATCAAAAAATTAGGATCATTTTTTCTCTTTTTCTTCTAAAAACATTTCTTTCATAGTAGCCTTTTGTTGCTGCTTCTGAAATTGTTGTGATTCTTTATTGTTGAGCTCATTTTCATGGTCATATAGTATTAACTATTCCTCATCTTTATTGCTAAATTCTTAACCTCTGGTTTGGTTTGGAAACATAGTATCATAGAAAACAAAAAAGTTTTAAATGTCAAAGCGTTCAAAGTCTCTGCATGCAACGTAATCTAGCCATAATTTCCTCCAGTCCAAATTCATGGTCCAGTAAGTCACTTGTTTCCAGGCTTTTATTAAGGTTGGTTGATTTAGTGAGGGTTAAACAGTAGAAAATGTTAAAATGATGTTTCTAAAAATCTCTGAGTGTTAATTACGTGGCATATATTTCAATGCTGGCTTGAGAGTTTGTAATTCGAGACACCGTTCGCGATCCGAAGCGATTTTTATTCAGATAATTTGTTCATGAACTGAGGCTTTCGCGATCCAAGGCTGCATTGCATGTTATAATTTTTATAATTTTTATTATATCATGCACAAAATAATTTTTTTTAAATATTTTACAGCTGAATTGGAACTGTTGATGGATGCTCTTAAGAAAATCTGAAAAGAAGGTAACTTTAAATAAGAATTATACCAATATTCGATGATATCGGAGTATAAATCCAGGATTTTATTCATTTTTTATGAATATCCATGTTTGATCTTCTTTGTGTATTATGCCCGGACACTTTAATGTAAAAATAAATGTGATAGCACTGTATCTAATACATGTGTTTATTTTCGAAAAAGTCATGCGATTTATTTTATTCACTTCTGTAGAAAGATATGTGAATGTTATTTTTATTACGTGTAAGTCCACACTAGGAAATAAATATCATTTTTATTTCTTTACGAATGTTACAATCTCCCTCATTGATTGAACTTGTCATTTAAAATAAGTACACAACAGTATGGATCATGGCAACTAAATTATTAATACGTAAAAAATATTTTGTAGCTTTGTTAAGTCTTGAAATGCTTAAAATGAATTTGGGTTTTAATGATATCGATAAAACTTAATAACAATAACGATAATGATAATTTTCTTTCACCTTAGAAACAGAAAAACCTATTATATATATATCAAACCATTATGATAACGATGTAAGATAATCTCACTTATAAAAACGTCCTAGTATCTTTTAAAGATGTTTAATAAGAAAAATAAGTGATTTAGAAAAAGATCGCCATATATATTCATATACATGTGTAAAATAATCATTTTGATCAAACTTTTACGATTTCTCTTTTTCAAATTGTGTTTCTCTTCATCTGTTACCGCTTAAACGCTTTTTCTCTAGAAAAGATTTGGTATTGCTAAGCCTTTTTCTCCTTGAAGAAGGAATATGTAAGATGGCAGTAGATCTTTTAATTCCTGATTTTAATTTTAATACAAAAGCTCTGTTCTGCGTCACTTATCTGCAGTCACCCGTAGTGAGAAAGCTTTGCCCAATCGCTGTTCAGAATTCAAATAAATTTCCGAATTATAAATACTCCCGCAGCTTTATACGTACCCTCTTTCTGTGCTTGCTCCTGATTGAATAACCCACGTCTCTTTATCCTACATTATTTAAAATGTAAGAAGTGTATATATATAATATATAGATATATATATATATATATATATAATATATAAAAGTGTGGGTCATTTGCATCAATCAAGGATATGTCCTAAGAAAGTAATGATGTGATTGAAAATATGTATCAAGAATGCAGGAATAAACTGTTTAGAACTCGAAGCGTTTGTCTGTAACTTAATCGTTCCATCTACGCAACAGTTTCAAGCTATCTTCTAACATCAAGTTAACTACAAAGAAATAAATGATCACATACAATGAGCTAAAAATGTTAAAAATATGCTGTAAAAAGTTGACTTTAAATGGTTTTCAGATACATTTAAAGAAAACTAATACATTCGTTTTCTTTTTAAGTATAAATTAAAGAGTATATTACTCCCTCCTTGCAGCATGCCTCTGCTTCAAAATTACCTACAACTTACAACATTAATAAACTTTGATTACTTAAATTAATTGACTCTACAACATTAATAAATTTTCAAAGTGTTGTGCTTCGTATAATATGGGTATCAGTTTATAAAGCCATTAAGGGCTTGATTTGATTGAACTGTTTAATTCAGGCAAAGTATTCGAGGACCAGATGCATAGCTGCAACTGGGAAGGTGCCGGTCTCATAAATCTCTAAGGTTAGTTTTCCTATAACCGCTATTCTATTTTTAGCTCAACTGAATGGATTCACACTGTTGCTTCTCTTTTCGGGACCTCGAGCGGATGGGACAATTTTCTTGAAATTTTGGCATTTTTTTTTTTTTTTTTTTTTTTTGGTCTTCCAGTCTTTTGTTTACGCGCTGTCTAGTAGATCACACCTCTTAGTGCTCCTATTTTATTCAAATTTTAGAGAAAAGCGCTGAAACTTTGTCCTCGAAATGCAGAGCCGGTGTAAGTAATTTCGGGCTCCTTGCAAGCTGGGATTTCGGGCCGCCCTTCAAAAGTCCATTTTTTAGGGAAAGGCTGTTACATAATGTATTGTCGCTAAACACTTCGAGAAAAAAATGCAAGTTCTTCTGTTATCTGCTGTTAAGCAACTATGAACTATGTAAGCATGTATATGAATGAACTATGTAAGCATGTATATGTATGAACTATGTGAGCATGTATATGTATGAACTATGTAAGCACATATTATGAAAGATCTATGTATTATGAACTACTTGTATATAAGCATGTACTATGAACTATGTAACTATGTAAGCATATATTATGAACTATGTAACTATAAGCATATATTATGAACTATGTAAATATAAGCATACATTATGAACTATGTAAGCATGTATACAGGATCAATGTATGCCCTTATAGGGCCCATGAGGTGTTGCCCCGAATAGTTGCGGAACCTGCACTAGACCCGAATAGTCTAAGTAAGCCGCACGGGTGTCCAGATTCTGCTCTCAACTGTCAACTGATATCTGCTGTTATAGTGAAACTGACTGGTCTCATCCAACTGGTTCTGTTAATACTTACATTTCCAATGAATTTAATGTTTTCCTCTAGTAACTCGTATTATATTTATAAACCGTGTTGCACTACCTTCCGCTTCCATTTTATTCTTTAAAAATAGACATTTTTTGCCAAAATCGGTTTTCCACAGTTTTATTCACTTTATTTTCTTATTTTGTTCTCTGCCTTCGGAAATGGGGGGGGGGGAGTCTACAAAATATTCTTCATAGGTGGTAGAAGAAATCCCTTGCAATATATCAAGAACTTCCTACTTGAGCTGCTCCTACGTTTACGCTGCAGAAGAGGACTGCTGACCCTGCGGCTATAAAATATGCTTCACAGCATTATTATGCATTACTGTCCTATGTACATATTTTGCAAACAATATCATGTGTTTATATATACAACAAATACGATAACAGTGGTAAATTCTATCTGGGAAAAAGACTTCTAAATTCTATACTTGTGTTCAATCAAACTGAAGGTTTGACTTAATTGATTACAGCACAGCACTTGAGGGTTTCTGTCTAAGAGAAGGGATACCTTCATGGAGGTCTCTCTAAGGAAAACGAGGTGTGTATACACATAAGGGGGGGCCATGATAATGCCCGCGCAACCAGCCCGTTTGCAGGGATTCGACTCCTGGACCCAACTACCAGTACTCACAGACTTTACCACGCTTCCGCAGGTCAGCTGTTAATCAAGCGCAAGAATACTGAATGTACTAAAAGGCATATTATCTGCCAAGTTTAATTCCATCTTTTCTACCAGTCATATTTTGGAAATTACGCAACGAAATACGAATATTTTCGAGAAAACAAACTGAACATAAAAGGAAGCTTAAGTACAAAATCTGAGTTTTAAACTTTAACTAATCTGAGTATTTAAAACTGTAAACGTGTACATCTGATGACAATTGGAAGGGAACCTGAAAACTGTAATAACCAGTGGTTTAACTATAGCTTTTACACTTTAGCTGTGCCAGTAATTACTAACGAAAGAAGAAAATTTCTGGACTTTTAGAGTACTCCATGATGTAAAACACTCTAAATAAAAAGTGAAAACTGTATTTCAAATAATGTTGATTTTCATACGCAAGTTTCTCTATTAGACCCTACAAGGTAATATTGTAGCTGACTAATATTGTTAAAATTAAGACTAAAATCTCCATAAAAATTTTCATTTACTAAAAATTGATTTTTTTTTAACTTTCATTTCTGCAGAATACATTTTAAATTCCTAGACATCCATACTTTTTCCGTCATCTGAACTACAATACTAGTTCTAACAATGTCAAGATTAAATAAAAGTAAAAATACAGAAGACTGAAATTAATACTAATTTTTTGTTAAATTTATTTAATATAGACCAGTACTAGCATGGCTGTTCTGAAAATTTCTGAGACTGAGTATCAATTTTCAATTCGTTGGAGAGTTTGGTTGCAAGATTTGAAAGGAAAAGATATTTCTTTTAACATGTGTTTTCATAAGGAAGTGTCCCCGTAAAAGGATTCTAATGGTTTATTGGCTTATTTCTTTAAATATTTATTCTAGACGTAATATGCATCCAATTAAAAAAATTTCTCAAAAAAAAAAAAAAAAAAAAGGATATAATTATACGAAAACAGCTTTTGCATAGTGAGTGCGATGGGTTGCGTAAGTAATAAAATGAAATTTTTTGAAGAATTCGTAAAAAATAATTAAAAATAAACTAATAAACAATTAAGTAATTAAATCATAATAATTAAAAATGTTTAGCTCCTATGCAATCAGATTTCCAATTAATAAAATATTCATTATATTTTAATTAGTTAAATATGAAGTTTCTTACCTTTAATTGCAAAGAGGCGAATTAGAATATTAAGACTTACTCACTTAGTTCACAATGGATTGGTTTTGAAGAGATGCTTTACGTTTTCTTCCCAGTAGTCAGTAGTAGCTACTAGTAGTAGAAGAGCGTTCTACTTCTTTTTTTTTTTTTTTTTTTAAAGTGAAATCGATTTATGGTTATTATGAAACAGAAAATTTTATTTGAATTAAATGAATGAATGGGGTTTGAATGGGGATCTTGTAGACCTCCCTTTCTCAGTTACGTCCAAATATATCACCTCACTAGTTAAGGATTAAACTCAAAATCTAGTTTTCTCAAGAAATGGAACCCGAGGGTCTCGTACCTCCTTTCCCCACCAACAAAAGTATCCAAGAAAAGACTTAAATCAAGAAAAATTATAACAGTTTTAAATTGCCTCATTTCGGGAAGACATCATATTGCAAAGAACAATGCCTTTCTTCAATTCTGACAGCATGCACTGCCAGCATCCCTTAATCATTGTATTGTCCAGAATGGTGGTCATTTTAATGGTGGAAATTTGTTTCATAAGGTTTAATACACTAGTTTCCTTTTTTCCACAATTGTGCATACATGCGGTCGAGACGGTAAAGCCACGGAAAAATACTTTGTCCTATCTTAAGCCGGCTATTGAACTGATTGACTGATAGACAATTTTGTAAATTTCCTTTTGTGTAAAGAAGCTCTCTATAAAGACATTTTTCTTTCAGCAGATAGCCTTCGAGAACTTTGCCAAAAACCAACAGCAATGATCATAACATGAAAAATATCGAACTGTTCATTAAGAACTGTATGTTTACTATAAAGGTTTGGTGTTGCATTTATCCGAATACGGAGGAAGTACGGTATTTTTTTTAATATATTTAAAATCTTTTGGTATTTTTAATTGTTTTCATCCTATATCTACGGAAACAAAAAGTAAATTATCAGTATTTAAATTTGAGAGGACAGCTATCAAAACAGTACAAACTGCTTATTTGAAATCGA